TGCTACGTGATGTCATTACCCAGATGGTCGAACACTTAGCATATTAGCCTTTTATATATAGACTAGAGACCTGGTGCACAACATTTGTGCACTGGGGGTGGAGGGAGACCCTCAGCTCGGCCTGTGCTCTCTAGCAGTCTGGGACCCCTTGGGGGATGTCCACCTTCTGGCTTAGGCCCACTCCACACAGCAGTTGGACATCCCCTAAGGGGTCCTTAGCGCTGCAGTGGAGACAGGAGAGGTCCCCACCACCACCACTGCGCTCACCAGCCACGGCCCCAGCTTCTGGCTGAGCGGCGCTCCTTCTGTGGGAGCACACTGACCACCAGAGGGCAGCTCCTATGTTGAGCGTCTGCCCCCTGGTGGCCAGTGTGCGTCATAGCGACCGGTTGTTCCGTCGTCTGGTCGATTTGCATATTAGCCTTTTATTATATAGGACTAGAGGCCCAGTGCACGAAATTCGTACACTGGGGGGGGGGGGGGGGGGGCGGTCCCTCAGCCCGGCCTGCACCCTCTCCAATCAGGGACCCCTCAGGGGATGTCTGATCCCTCTCACAATCCAGGACTGGTGGCTCCCAACCTCTCGCCTGCCCGCCTGCCTGATTGCCCCTAACCACTTCTGCCTGCCAGCCTGACCGCCCCCTAACTGCTCCCCTGCTGGCCTGGTCACACCCAACTGCTCTCCCCTGCAGGCCTGGTCCCCCCAATGACCTCCCCTGCTGGCCTGATCGCCCACAACTGCCCTCCCCTGCCAGCCATCTTGTGGCCACATAGGGGCAGCCATCTTGTGCAAGGGCATGATGGTCTTTTTTGCGTATTACCTCTTTATTATATAGGATAGATAACTCACTTGATACACAAAACCTTGTGAGGTATGAACGCTACAATCATGCTTCTTATAGAGGCAGCAACTGAGGCAGAAAGAGATTAGTAATTTATTCAAAGTCACCCAGCAGATACTGGCCAGGCATAGCCCAGAGTCCAGGCTATAGACTATGCTCTCACACAGCATCTCTGTCACTCCATTTCCTCATTTATAGTGACAAATAGCTGGGTCCATATGGGGAGGAAATAGAGATAGGGAGTTATGACTGACTCAGACCTTCACCAGCCTGAAGCTAAGTGTGGATGGTCCTTCCCTAAAAGTTTTAAGTCCCAGAGTAAGAAAGGAAAAAACAGTGGCAGAGATTACAGGTAACAGAGAGCAGGCAGATAAAGGGACTGGAGAGAATTTTAAAATCTAAATTGAACTATCAACAAAACAAAAAGACAACCTACTGAACAGAAGAAGATATTCGCCAATGTACATTTGATAAGGGGTTAATATCCAAAATTTATAAAGAACTCATACAACTCAACACCAAAACAAACAAACAATCCAATTAAAAAGTGATTAGACACTTCTCCATAGAGGACATAATGGTGTTTTTACCACCAATATACAAGAATTTATTTGTAAATTTCCAAACCTGCCAGAAGTGGCACTTTCCAAGCCCTAAGCCCACCCTTCTTATCAAGTTCCAAATGGCAACGAGTTCTCCCCAACTCCACCAAGCACACCCATACCTTAGGCTATGCCAGAGAACTTGAGTGTCCTCTTCTTCTAGAAGGCTTTCTATTCCTGAGCCCAAGAGCTAGGGTGGCAGCTCTCCAGCATCCCAGGAGATAATGGCAACTAGAGCCGCTTGCATAGATTGAGGAAAGAAAATAACGGAGGAGGCACCAAATAGGGCTCCCTGAAAAACCCCAACTTACTCCCTATACAAAAAAACTCCCACATAGAAGAACCTCTCCCTAAATAGTGCAAATACCCAAAGAAAATGAATAACATATGAAAAGATGCTCAAAGTCACTAATTGTCAGAGAAATGCATATTAAAACCCAATGAGATAGCACCTCCCACCTGCCAGTTAGAATGACTGTCATCAATAAATCAACAAACAACAAGTGCTGGCAAGGATGTGGAGGAGAACCCTGGTGCACTGCTGGTACAAATGCATTTGTGCAGCCACTGTGGAAAGCAATATGGAGGTTACTCAAAAAAATTAAAACTAGATCTTATGACCCAGCAATTCCACATCTGGGTATATATCCAAAGAAATCTAAAACACTATTTCAAAGATATATGCACCCCTATGTTCACTGCAGCATTATTTACAAGAGCCAAGATATGGAAGCAACCCATGTGCACATCAATAGATGATTAGATAAAGAAGATGTGGTACATATACGTAATGGAATATTACTCAGCCATAGAAAAGAATAAAATCTTGCCATTTGCAACAACATGGATGGACCTAGAGGGTATATTAAATGAAGTAAGTCAGACAGAGAAAAACAAACACCATATGATTTCACTTATATGTGGAATCTAAAAAACAATATAAACAGACAAGCAGAACAGAAACAGATTCATAGATACAAAAGACAAAATGATGGTTGCCAGAGAATGGAGAAGATGGGGTGGAAAAGGTGAAGGGATTTAAGAAGTGCAAAGTGGTAGTTGCAAAATGGTGAAAGGGTGCCAGAAACCAATTACAGCATGACAGCAGGGCTGAGTCTGGGAATGGCTGATGGCATTTCCCCAAACCTGAATAGAATACATTAAATTGATTGTTTGCTGCCAGACAGCTCAGGGAATCTTAATCTACATGTTATTGCCTCCTACTGGCCAAACACTTGAACAGCCATAGGCTAATTCTCCCCAGTCTGACAATGAGCTCTGTATACGAAACCCTGACCCTTTGAAGTGTATATCTCTGCCTCACCTCAGGACAATTTGTGTTAATAAAAAGCATGGGGTCCTGAGACGAGGAGATCTTAGTTTCCTTTAAACTAGGCTCCTCTGACCCCCAAATGCCTTTCAAAATTATATTTTGTTTCTGGACTATTTAATCTACACACAGCCCTTCTCCAATTTCCTGAACCCTTCTTAATACTGGAACAAGAACCCCGGCAATAGGGATATAAAGTACAGCAGAGGAAATCAATAATCTATATGTATAAAAGCCTAAGCAACCAAACAACCAAACTAAGTGCACTGACCACCAGGGGACAGACACTCAACACAGAAGCTGCCCCCTGGTGGTCAGTGCACTCTCACAGCCAACCTCCCACGATCCCACCTGTGCACAAATTCGTGCACTGGACCTCTAGTATTATAATAACTACTAGGGGCCCGGTGCACAAAAATTTGTGCACTCGGGGGTAGGGGGACCCTCAGCCCGGCCTGTGCCCTTTCGCAGTCTGGGACCCCTTGGGGGTGACCACTTGCTGACTTAGGCCTGCTCCCCGGGAGACTGAGCCTAAGATGGCAATCTGGCAGCCCGGCAGCCCTCGGGGGATGTCCATTTGCCAGCGGGGAGCAGACCTAAGCTGCAGTCAGACATCCTTAGCGCTGCTGAGGAGGCAGGAGAGGCTCCCACCACCACTGCTGTACTGGCAGCCATCAGCCTGGCTTGTGGCTGAGCAGAGCTCCCCCCTGTGAGAGCACACTGACCACCAGGGGGCAGCTCCTGCATTGAGCTTCTGCCCCTGGTGGTCAGTGTGTGTCATAGTGACCAGTAATTCCCAGTCTTTCTGCTGTTAGGGTCAGTTTGCATATTACCCTTTTACTATATAGGATAGAGGCCTGGTGCATGGGTGGGGGCCGAATGGTTTGCCCTGAAGGGTGTCCCGGATCAGGGTAGGGGTCCCGCTTGGGTGCCTGGCCAGCCTGGGTGAGGGACTGATGGCTATTTTCAGCTGGTCACACCCCCTTCAGGGTGGGGGTCCCCACTGGGGTGTCTGGCCAGCCTGGATGTCAAGCTGATGGCTGTTTGCAGCTGGTCACACCCCCTTCAGTGTGGGGGTCCCCACGGGGGTGCCTGGCCAGTCTGGGTGAGGGGCTGAGGGCCGTTTTCAAGCTGGCAGGCGACTGAAGCTCCCAGCCTTTTTTTTTCTTTTTTTTTTTTTTATTCTGGGATTTATTTACCTTCTATAGCTGTCACTGGAGCTGAAAGCCGGCTCCAGCTCTGAGGCCATGGCTGGCTGAAAGCAGGTATCTGGGGTTTGTTTAGCTTCTATAATTGAAACTCTGTTGCCATCACTGGCGCTCTAAGCTCTGAGCCCGTTGCCGGCTGAAAACAGGTATCTGGGGTTTGTTTAGCTTCTATAATTGAAACATTGTTGCATCCGGAGCTCAGAGCTGGGCCGCAGCAGGCAGAGAACCTTGGCTTCCTCCATCACTGGAGCAAGCAAGCCTCATGTTCACTTCAGCTGCGTGGCTGCCAGCCGCCATCTTTGTTGGCAGTTAATTTGCATATCCTGATTAGCCAATGGGAAGCATAGCGGAGGTATGGTTAATTACCATGTTTGTCTATTATTAGATAGGATGTATGATGCCAAGTGGATGCTAGAATTATTTGGGGGATAACTTCATAATTATATAATGTCTAACCACTATACTATATATCTGAAACTAATATAAAATAATATTGAATTTCAACTATAATTGATAAAAATTAAGTTGAATTGCCCCAAGGCAACAATTCTGGAATGTTACATGGATTACTACAAGTTATCAAGGGATAAATTAGTATTAGCAATGTAATAAAGAACATAAGTTTTAGAGAATGGCAAAAGAGAAGGCTTATACAATATTACATATCACTATTAGAGTTTCTAATGGGAGCAAGGAAAAAATACTGGTGTAAGTTTATACTGAAAATAACACAAGAAAAATTCAAAATATTTTCCTGATCAAGAAGTCCAAGGATGAGTTCAGTGTTTTCCTTTATAAATTCTTAAGGTAACTAAGAGCAGAGAGCTGTTATTTCAAGAGGATGAGGGTCTAAAGTACAACATTTACCTCATTAAACGCCAAAATATGTTGAAAATGTAGAGTATTAAGGTTGGATAAATACTTAAAACATATGGTACTTTTAACTTTAAAGTATCCATTTTTGGGGTTTTTGCGTTAAAAAAAAAATCCCCGAGAGGTAATTCATGCTTTCAATTACCTGTTTTCCTTCTCCTCAATGAACTCATGGTCACTGAGCTCTGGGTACTGCACCACATTGACACGGACAGGATGCGCACTTTGAAGAAGCCTCCGCACGTCCTGCACCCTTAAATCTTCACTCCATATGAGTGACATAACCTCCTGATTCATGTCGTTCATGCCATCATCTTCCTCCTCAGTCTCTGTTCCTGAAGGAACATCTGATGAGAGCACCTGAGTAACAGACTTGGTTGTAGTGACAATTTAAAAACCAGTCAACACACACTGACTGACATGAGCATATCCAGGATGACATATCTGACCACCAACAGAGAAGAACTATGCATTCAAAAGCAGGCGAGCCTGGATTCCCTTATGTACCAGGACTCTAACGTAGAACTCTCTGTTACAGCACAATTAAACTGCCCACTTAAAAATTCTTTATTGAGCCAAGAGAAGTTTAAATTTGAGATAAGAGTCAGGAGGAGGATTCCTTTAAAAGGATCTAATAAATTATAAAAATCTAACTATATCCTAAACATCTTGAAAACAGATATGACACCCCCCATTATTGTTTAAGAACCCACACTAATTTAAATATTGTATTTTATTAATATAAGCAGAAAAGAAAAACATGCAGAATATGCAACAAGGGTAGCTGAACAATACTTTCTCCCTTTAGTGTTTTAAATACAATGAATCATGGCTGGTTTTCACTTTTGTTTGTAAATATGTTCCAAATAAAAATTTCTTAAAAGGGAGGGGACTGAATGTAACAAAACAAATGAAAGGGGTTCAATCCTTGATTATCATTCTGTCTTCATAAGCTCAGTGAATGCTTTTAGTATGAGTCTTCTGGTCCAAGTACAGTCAAACATCAGCTCTCAAACTTCTCCCATCTTGAACAATTCGATTCTCGACCAGGTTGTTCATGGAAAAAATGCCTGGGTTGTTGAATAAACTTTGGTTCTGGACCTGACAACCCTTTCATGCTGATACATCAGAATGACAAAAAGGGTCTCTCAGGCCATAAACAAAAGAGAGAATGCAAGTCAGTTTACTGCTAAATCTAGGATTATTAACCTCTCAGGAAACAGTGCTGTGAATATTTTTGTGTTGTTTTTTTGTTTGTTTGTTTTGCTTTTGTTGCTGACTAAATGGAGGACTGGCACAATTTTAAAACTTACAGAGGCCATCAAGAGTACTAATGTTACTAAGGATGTGAAAAAAACAATGATCACGGACAACTGAAGAGGTAGAAAAACTGTTGGATAGAGGAAAAGCAGGTAGCCAGCGACAGCATTTTGGAGGTGGAGATATGTAAAAAAGCAGATGCCACATACTGACCTCCTTGAAAGAAACTGGGGAACCAGTGCTGAAAGTGATTCATTTAAGGCTGGGGGGGTTTGATAAGTTAAAAAAAAGAAGTGTTTTGTTTATAGGTTAAATAGTACATTAGACATGTACTATATATAAGAAAGGTCAAAACGGAATCATTTGGGGGTTTGGAAAGAATTAATAAAATTTACATTATTTCTAATGGGAAAAAAATGATTCTGTTTTCCAGCAAATCACTTCTCGAAACAGCCGTCTGGAACAAATTAGTTAGAAAACCAAGGTTTCACTGTAATTCAGACTTCAACACAGATTTAAACAGCATGAAATCTTCTTTTCTCTCAATGTTTTATATTCTTTTAACAAAAGGTTAACTTCTGGTTAAAATGCTAGAGTTCTGTCAACATTTAACATGGAAACAGTATTAACATGAAAAAAATAATGGCAGATAGGGCTAAATAATCACTTTTATTTAGTTCATAAAAATTTATTACGGTTCCTATGAACTATCTAATCTTAAAAAGAAACTATATTCTAATGGGTGGGTAAGCTATAAAATATAGACCCAAATAGCTGGTAAGTTAAATTTAGATGAGTTATACAATATAGCCTCAACTAACTGAACTGAGTTTAGACAGAATTACTTAAAATGACAAATACAGGTGAATGATTATCAATACCATTTGGTTTCAGTGCTAATGATGTTACACTGCTCTTACTCTGTGAAAAGAGGTCTAAATGCTAAAACTTATCTTGGCCAAGGAAAGAATAAAAATTGTGTTAATCCCCCCCTCCGCCAAAAATGGTTTTCTGTTTAAGACAAAACAAATACTAACTCAAATAAGAGTTGTTGCCAAACCGGTTTGGCTCAGTGGATAGAGCGTCGGCCTGCGGACTGAAGGGTCCCAGGTTCAATTCCGGTCAAGGGCATGTACCTTGGTTGCGGGCACATCCTCCAGTGGGAGGTGTGCAGGAGGCAGCTGGTCGATGTTTCTCTCTCATCAATGTTTCTAACTCTCTATCCCTCTCCCTTCCTCTCTGTAAAAAAAATCAATAAAAATATATTTAAAAAAAAAAAAAAAGAGCTGTTATGTAGGTGCAGACTGAAGAGCACTATCTGGTCGGACCCTACTGAAGATGGATCCCCATGGAAACAAATTCTGTCACAGTTACATGAGGCAACACTAATGTCAGGAATAAATTTTGACACAGGTTCTAAAGCATCAGTAGCCTAAGACCTGATGTGGATTATAAATAGTCAAAATGTGTTGATTATTATCTGTTGGTTCAAATGCTAATAAGAGAGTAGGCAAATTTCCACTGTCACCTCTGGACCCTCTGGGATGCTCACAGTAATACAGCACCACCATTTATGATTTTAAAGTTAACTCGAGTTTAGAAATTTTAAAAATTCCATTTTTAAATTTTTAAAGAGGCTGATTTTAAAAGAAATAATTGGAGAGTTAATGATGTAATTCACTTTCTACCTTAGAACCCATTCTTTAAAAAACAGACTTAAAGACCGATGAAGGACAGTATTCAGAAGGGATAACATTAAGATATCTTTCAAACCTTAGTGCCCTCTGCCCCCTCCCCCCAAAAAATCCTTTTCCTGGGGCTTCAGTTTGATGTGATTAAACAGATATATTTACAATATTCAAAGGTTAAATTCAAGAAAGCCAACTCATCAGAAATGTATGAAACAGAAAATAGTTATATATTAACTATTCAAATTCAGGATCTATGCTCTTGCTTTTCCCACATAATTATAAATTAGTTAATTACCAATACAATATAAGTAGGGAGTCAGCCATGGTAGTTGCTCTACTGATCACTCACAGTGAAGAAAGGTCCAGGAAAGAGAAAGCATTCCAAAATCTCCTGTTCTCATGTTTAATTTACAATTAATAACATTTGTCCAATTATAAATGCCACCTGGCACATAATATGAAAAAGGCAATGTAATATACACGCTTGCAGAAAGACAAAAGAAATGTAGAACATTCCTACTTTGATGTTACTAAGGCCAAACTGAACCTTGAACTTTTGGTGTTGACACTCACAGATTTCCCTTTGGGTAAGTTTCCTTCACAGGCCTGCTTGGATAGGTCCTGGCGTCCAATTAAGAGACACACAGCCTCAGGCCAGTCTGCAGCAGGCTGCTCTCGACAGTGATAAATTGCATCTCTAATGGGAAGAGCAATTCCAAAGGGAAGAGTTTCCAAGTCTCTTAAAGTGAAACCTGATGGTGAAAGGAAAACATTTTTCATTTGCATTTAGACTTGCCACTCTCCTGTTTACCCTCTGACTAAAGTTAACAAACATCTATTCTGACAAGAAAGAAATTCATTGTATTCATCCTACTACCAGGCTAGTGTCTTGACATCAGGGATTAGCAGAAAAGGTCTCTTTACAAAATTCTAAACCTTAAGAAAAAGACAACTAAAACATTAGGAAAACCACCAAGGACTTAAAAACCATTCCATAGATTAAATACAAAGAGTCCATAAACATATGAAAAGATTGTTTATCCAATGAGTGGTCATGGAAACGCAAAACTAAAACCACTGGAAAATAGAAGTTCACACTAGCCTGACAGACAAATATTGAAGTCAATCAATATCAAGTATTGGCAACTATGCACAGCAACAGCACTTCTCGACCACAGTTGATGGTGGTTACTTATGTTCTGGTACAACCACACTGGAAAACACTTGGCATGTACAGATAGGCCGACCCCTATGGTCCAACAATAGCCACACAGAAACTTGTGCACCTGTGTACCAGGACACAATATTAAAATATTTGTTAGCAATGTTTCACTATGGCAAAAAAAGGGGAGGGAGGAAACATCCCAATTGCTTGCATCAATAGAATGGATAAATAAGGCCCAGCCAGTTTTGATGAGTGGAAAGAGCATTGGCCCAAGGACTGAAGGGTCTCGAGTTTGATTCTGGTCAAGGGCATGTACCTCGGTTGCAGGATGGGTACCTGGCCCCCACTGGGGCACATTCAGGAGGCAACCAATCGATGTGTTTCTCTCACATGGATGTTTCTGTCTCTCTGTTTCCCCCTCCCTTCCATTCTCTCTAAAAATCAATGGAAAAATATCTTGGGGTGAGGATTAACAACAAAAAAAGAATGAATAAATAAGTTTTAATATTCAAACAATGAAGTATTTAGCAATGAAAACAAGTGACCTACTGCTACGTGAGTCAACATGGATGAATCTTTAAATATTGAGTCCAGATGGTGTGGCTCAGTGGTTGAGCATCAACCTCTGAACCAGGAGGTTCAATTCTGGGGCAGGGCACATACCCGGGTTTCAGGCTGTGCAGGAGGAAGCCAATCAATGATTCTCTCTCATCATTCATGTTTCTATCTCTCTCTCCCTTCCTCTCTAAAATCAATAAAAATATATTTTTCTAAATTTTTAATAACAGTATTGAGTGAAGAAAACAAGATAGCAGAAAGTTTTATTTTTATGTTTACATAAAATTCAAAAATATAAAACACTAAGCAATATATAAAGATGATAAAACTACAAAAATATATGAGAAAAGAAATACAAAATTTAGGTAGGACATTGGTTACCTCTAGTGGTGGATTATATGGGAGGACACCATGCAGAAGTAAACACACAAGGGTCTTCAACCACACTAGCAATGTTCTGTTTCTAATGGTGGGTGACCAGTACATCAATATTCACTTTATTGTTATTCTCTAAACATTTCAAAAATTCTTTTGTATGTACGCCACATTTCATTTTTAAAATTTTTAAATCTTCACGTTAATTAAATTTTTATTTTTCCTAAAATAATATCTAAATTTTATAAATTATATATTATCTATTAATATAGAACCTTGATTAATTTTTAAGGTAAAAATGATTCCTTATATGAGAATAACAATTTTATTAAATATTATGTAACATATAGATAGAAGTTGGCCACTATTTTTTCAGCATAGGTATCTTATCTGTAATACTAATGACAATTATTATAATTTTGAAGAGATATACAAAAAAGTACAATGAAAAACTAAGTCATTTAGAGCAGTCTTTAAGAATTTAGGAATATCCTGTAACATTCATTAGAGCATGACTTTCTAATATAGAAACATCTTCATTTTTTTTTAATATCTTCATATAAGTAATTTAACTTTTTTTTTTTAGTTGTTTTTGTGAAAAATTTCTTTAGTACTTTACTCAGTTTGAAACCTAGGATCACAGGGTTAGGATTAGAGACTAGAAAACTCTTTTCTTCCCCCTTCCACCTATGAATCTTCATCTTGGCACCTCAAATCCCTGGCCTATATACCCTTCCAAAGCACACCTGCAACGTTTATACAATTACTTTTAGGTTTGGCCAGGAATACTCCCTTCTGACATCTGAATATGACAATGGCTTAAGGTCTGGTGTGCAGTGATTGGTGCTCTCCATTCTGAGGCCCAGAGATCAGAAGCTAGTATTGCTGATGTCATATGAAAGTTGTGAAACTGTTAGGGAAAGCTGCCTTGAGGAAGATGGGCTTCGTGAGGATGGAGTGTCCAGGGAAGCAGAGGATTCTCACTGGCAGTTCAATACACATAAAGAGTAAAGACAGCCTTACCTACATTAGCCATCCAGACAACCAATCTTTCAGCCAGACTAGAAACTGATGGAGAATGCCTGAAACTAAACCTGTAGGAAAACAAAACACAGTTATTAAGCAGAAGAGTGACACATAATCGAGTTTTATGTATTTAATATAAAAGCACAATCTGAATAAAAGTCACCTGTTTTCCTCTTGTTCTGCTTGTGACTTTTGGGGGGCTACAAGATAACAAAACGAATCTTTATTTTGATAGCCTTCCTGGTAAAAAAAATACATAACATACACAAGAAATCTGGAAATAAAGCTTTAACAAACAACTCCTAGAAAATAATAAAATAAGCAGGTGGAAAGTATAATTTCCCTGAAGTTAAAATAATCCTTCTAAAAAAATAAATAAAATAATCATTCTAAAAGTATGAAATAAGGTACATTAAAAGTATGAAGTTAGATTTTTAAGTCATTCTGATCTCTGAAATTCAGTTGTGGACTTAGACCAGACAGTGTAAGATACAACCTCTACAATGAGGTAAGATGTGGTTTCTAAACAAACATGAATCTATTTCTTAATTTCAACTCTGATATCAATATTTATAAAATTTTGTTTGCAAAGCCTAACATTACACTGACTTACCTAGAGAAATTCTCGATAAATAGTGTGAGGATTCATCACAAACAGAGCTTTCATCGCCAAGAATGTAGAGCGCAATACTCTGCACAAGGAGGAAATTAACATCTTTTTTAAATGACTGGGTTATCATTACATATAGGACAGTTCATCCATTTTAGGGGTACAGCTCTGTGCTTTGACAAATGTTTCACAGTCCCATCACCACTATCACAATCATGATAGGAATACTGTCCTCACCCCAGAAAGGTCCGCAGTGCCCTTCGTGGTCCATCTGCTCCTCCCTGCACCAGCACCAGAGACAACTCATCTGTGTTCTGTCCCTGTAGTTTGCCTCTTCTACAGTGTCATGTAAATGGAACCACAAATGTGTGATCTTCTGTGTCCTACTTCGTGAGTATGCCTTTGAGATCCATCCACATTAACCACATCTATCAGGAGCTTGTTTCTTTCTACTGCTGAGCAGTATTCCCTTACACAGATGTACCAACTTTTTTCAGATGGGCATACAGGTCATTTCCGGTTAGGTGAACCCTAACCCTCTGACCCTAACCCTTTTCCCACTTCTGCCATCAAGATTCTCTTTTCTTTGTTGTCGTTAATCTCACCTGAGGATATTTTTTCCATTGCTTTTCAGAGAAAATGGAAGGGAAGGAAGGAGGGAGGGAGAAAGAAACATCACTGTGATTGACTTGATGCCAATCACATGTGCCCCCACTGAGTCTGGGGAGTGAAACCCACAACCCTGGTATGTGCCCTGACTTGTGACCCTTTGGTTCAAGGGCCAACCACTGAGAAACACCGGCCAGAGCCATGGTTCTCTTTTGAATATCTGTCCCACCACTAAGATCTGTACCTGCAGTGGCACTTTTTTTTTTTTTTAAAGAAAGGAGTAGCATGATTTTACTGAATTTTAGCACAAAACTGGAGGATCTTAACATTCTATATACCAGGCATCAAATCTAACAAAGAAAAGTTATAATGTGATTATCTGTAAGTTGACTAATATATTTAGGTTGGAGGTTGAAGAATTATGGCATATCCATAATTCTCTGCCTTCCCTTATTGGTTAGAAATGCACTGGGTCCACCCCATTGGGCAAGACCAAAAATTTGGTGATCTAACTTAAATGCTTCCACACAAGCTGCAAGAAATGCAAAAGTTCTGTGATTAAGCTGTTCTGAATACATTATGGATGTATTTAATGCCACTGAAATGTACACCAAAAAACAGTTAAAATAATAAATAGTATGTTAGATTATCACATTATCATTTATTTAAAAGAGCAGAATCACCATTCTGCATGTCTGTGCCAGAGCACATGGGTTGTGAAGCCTTCCTCAATATGAAGGCAGAGGCAGAGTGAAGAAAAGATGGGTGTGATCCACTGACGTGTGGGAGAGAAGACAAAAGCACACGGTTCTCCTGTGAGCCTGAAGGGTCCATAAAGGACCTGGGCGCAGGCTGCTCGAGGGCCAGGGGACCGAGAGACAGGTGCTGAAAAAGCTCACCTTTCCAGATGCCCTTTGGTTCTTACTCAAAGATTTGACCATAGATATGTCTTAGCTATGCAAAATGAACTAATTTTAACAATAAATAACGTACTTCTCTGGGTGGGGGTGGGGGGATGGGACCTGGGAAGCTACAGACAAACTGGTTAAAAAATTTAATTGTAAAAGCAAAGGAACTAAAATAGCTAAAACAATATTGAAAAACAAGAGTTAATGGGAAGAGACATACTAACCAGTTTTAAGACTTACTTTTAAAGCTACAGTAATCAAGACTGTGTGGACTGCAACACAGATCAATGGATCAGATTAAAAAGCCCAGAAATTGACCCATAAGAATGTGGTCAACTGACTTTTAACAGAACTTTAAAAGCAACAAAGAAACAATAATCTTTTCAACAAATAGTGTTAAAAGATTTACACATCCATACTGAATAAGAACCTGGACTTAAACCTTATGTCTTATAAAAAATTATCGAAGTGGATCGTTGCTCTAAATGTAAATCACACAACTATAAAACTTCTACAAGGAAACAGGAAGAAAATCTTGTGTTCTGAAGTTAAACAATGAATTCTTACACATGACACCAAAAGCACTATCCATAAAAGAAAAAAAATGGATAAACTGGCTTCATCAACATTGAACAGTTTTGTTCTACAAAATAAACACTAAGAGAATGATGAGACATGACAAGATGCAAACTAGGAGAAAATATTTGCAATCCACATATCTGACAAAATTTCATTATCTAGAATGCTCAAAATATCACTAGCCATTAAGGAAATGTAAATTAAAACCAAATGAGATATCACTGCACATGTACCAGAATGGCAAAAATTAGAAATCATGACAATAGCAAACACTGACAAAAATGCAGGGACACTGGAATGCTCACACACTGCTGGGGAAATGTAAAATGGTACAGTCAGTGTGAAAATAGTTTACAGTTTCTTCAAAACTAAATATATACTTACTACATAACCATCAATCCCACCTCTGGGTATCTACTTTAAAGAAATGAAAACTTACGTTCACACAGAAACCTGAATGATTACAGCAGCTATATTCACAACTGCTGGAACAGGGAACACCTGCATGAATCTCAAAAGTATAAGGGAAAATTTGTTGGAAGGGAGGAGGTCTATTCTGTATCCTAGTTATGGTGGTGAATACATAAATCTACATGTTTGTTGAAATTCACAGAACTGCACACAAAATTTTTAAAAAGTTAATTTTACTGTATAATTTTTAAACCATATTTTAAAAGAAAAAGATAAAAACAAATAGTATGAGTACGTACCAAAACTACAAGTCGGCTTCTTTCACAGATGCCAGGGAGATAAGGGTAAGGTGGCATTTCTTCACCCTTCAGACAAGAACTCACCCACTGGTAAATACTTGGTGGCTCAGAAGTAAAAAATGATGGATGATGCATAAACCCTGTTTGACCTTTAAAATTAGATAAATACTTATAGATAATAAGAATACATTTGGAAAATGCTCTTTTTCTAAAGGGAAAATGTTTTAAAATGACAGATACTGTTATTAATCAGAATAACATTTTTCCCTGTTTTCCAAAATGTTGCATTTTTCCTGCCACAGTAAGTAAACTGTCTATATTATAATATGTACAATTTGAATGACTATTATTTTATCCCCTGCTAGATAGAAATTCAGCAAATTTTTATGCTCAAGGCATATAAAGAATCTAACCAAAATTTTCTGCCCTAACCTGAAAGGTCAGAAAACAGAAGAGACAGTCAGGATTCTTCTCTGTTCTTACACTGGGCCCCAATCCTGAGTCCCTTTAGCTCAGGGTCTAAGACAGTACAGTGGTAATGAACATGTTCCAATATGGCAACCACTAGCCCCATGCAGCTACTAAGCACTTGAAACGTGGCCAGTGCAACTGAGGAACTGAATTTTTAATATTATTAACTGGAATGACAAGCACAGGTCTTGGACACAGCATACTTCGAAGTAGAAGCTAAGCTTCTGCAACTCAGAACCTTAAGGATGAGTATAATTTGCCCACATATGAGGAAGTTATGGCTTACTGCAAATCAGAGATCAATCACAAACTAAAATCTGCCTAGCGGGAAGGCCCTGCCCCTGACTTAGGGACTGATGGCAAGAAAAATACAAGCAAATGTCATACACTGTTCACAAAATCTTTATCAACACAGATGCTTACCTTGATCAATTGTGCACACCTGTCCAGTAGTTCTGACAAGTGTTGGGTAATCCCTGTAGTAATGATCTAAGTAAGGCTCCAATTTTAAGTCCCTAAAACAATAAGAAAATATAAAATAGAAATAACAAGGAAGATATTACAATATTTTCCCCCAAGAGTTAGGGTGCATCAATAGAACTTTCCATTTTAAAAACTTACCTATTAGAAAGAAGATAATCAAATCTAGAATCTCTTTATTCTATTTCTGGACTTTCCAGTGCCCAATATGATAAAAGCAACCTAAACTCCTTTTGCTACAAATTTTGTGGAGGTGAAACTACTGTAAAAACACTGAGGTCTAGGTTCTCCTCCAATACTTATTAGCTGTGTGATCTTCAGCAAATCATCTCTAGAACCTGAAATTTTCTTCCAGAAAATGGGGAAACACCAGTAAATTCACTGTGAAGTTTTAAAACTTAACAAGATATGTGAAAAATATCTTATGAAATGTAAAACATTAAACAAATGTTACTTATTTCAGAGAGCCCATGATTAGGATTTGGAAATTATTTCATTAAAAAAGAATTTTCATGATAGTAATGATTTCTCCTAAGAGAAATCAAACAATTAAAACTGTCATGTCTCAGAAAATAATTTCAGTATCTAAAGCAGTGATTCCCAAAGTGGGCGCTGCAGCGATCCAGGGGGGCGGTGATGGCCATAGGTGCATTTGGGGGCGATGAGTAACTGCTATTAAAATTTAAAAAAAATTAATTTCCAGGGGCTGAGTAATATTTTTTCTGGAAAGGGGGCGGTAGGCCAAATAAGTTTGGGAACCACTGATCTAAAGGAAGATCACAGAAATTAGAAAATTTGCTGTAACCTTAACTAAAGACATTGACATTTTGATTCCATTCAACTTTCTTTATCATCAAGGATCACAAAGCTTTAACACCCAAGAGTGACTTTTAGAATTCAGTGCGAAACACAAGGCTATTAAAGAGCACTGTTAGAACAATTTAAATGTGGATCCACTAGGGACCTGGAAGACAGGGATGATCACAGACAGGGACAACACAGCGCAGCAGAGCCCACAGCTAGCCAAACGTCATGGTCTTGGAAACACACTCAGACAGGTTTTCTCATCATTAAATGGGGATCATGACTCTCTGGCCTTATTTGACAACTTATGTAGCTAAACTGCGATTCTCTGAACTGTAAGCACTACTAGAATGTAGGTATTGTTACAGTACAGCAGACATTGTTATAGAACTTCCACCACAGTGCAGCCAGTCATCTTGTCAACATGAAATGCTCAGCAGGTCACCGCCAGTGTTTAACATATTTTGTGACTTCCCGCTGTTCATAGCAACCCTAGCATGATCCACAGGCTCTTACATAGCCAATACCTCCAAACAATTCTGTGGTTCTTAAAAAATGCTCAGGGTTCTTAGGAAGGCCAATTTCTGAGTCACCTGAGCACTCCTGGAAGTTTTCACTCTACACACAGTATTTACCTTGCCAACTGAACAAGGAGGTCAACAAGTGAATGAATTCCTTCTCCCATCAGAGTATTCAATTTAAGCTCCTCATAGACAAGGTGAAGAACAAAAAACATTGCAGGTATGTGAGAGAAGAGAAGTGTAGAAGAATCCAGACTGAGATTCTGTGACAAGTCCTCATCCTTTATCTGAGAAACTTCCAAAGGACTCAGACATAAAGATCTGTTCAAAAGATGAGACTCAACCTTCTGGTGGTAGTCTGAATTCAGTAAATACTCCCAATCCTGAGAAGAAACAAATTTGATTTTTAAATCATGCCTCCTTGTAATGTTGTCATTTAAAAAATTCAATTAAAGCAATTCAAGTTCCATTTCACATTAAGCTGCTCTAAGAATATGAAAAAAAAAAAAAGCACAATGCTGAAACATAAAAAGAATATCAAAACAGCTGAGTGATGGCCATGATATTCTAAGTCCTTTGTGTCATTTCCACAATCTCCACAGCACTTTTCCCAGGAGGAGATGGGCGACTCTTCCTTTCACTTGAACGTGGAGGCCTAGTAGGGTTATTAGTTGTGCCACAGGGAAAAGGGCAGCCCAAGGAGAGGGAAACAGGAAATGGGAATGGCCAATCAGGGAAGTAGTCAAAACACACACATGTATCCAGTAAGTTCACCATCTCATATGGGTGCAGTTTGTAGAGACTCAAAACAATTACAATAGTAACATCAAAGATGACTGACCACAGGTCACCATAACAAATGTAATAATAATGAAAATGTTTGAAATACTGCAATATTTATCAAAATGTCACACAGGGACACAAAGTGAGCAACTCTGTTGGGAAAATGGCACCAGCTGACTTGCTCGATGAAGGGTTGCCACAAACCTTCAATTCTGAAAAAACGCAGTATCTGTGAAGCCCAATAAATCCATAGGCATACCACAGAAATGGGAGACTAGTAAAAGTATCTATAGCGCAATTTATATTAGCAAGAAATAATACTTACCTCATCAGATCCCGTCTCAGAAGGCCTTGCTTTTTTGGGTGCAATTACTGGGGAAAGTGATCCTTCAAAGTCAAACTGGAAGATAAACCCAAAAGAGAAGACAAAGATCATATAAAGTTATCACTGTCAACTGACTAAAAAGATTCAGAAATTAGCCCTAGCGGTTTGGCTCAGTGGATAGAGCATCAGCCTGCAGACCGACGGGTCCCAGATTCAATTAGGTCAAAAGGCACGTATCTCAGTTGCAGGTTCCTCCCCAGACTGGGCCCTAGTCAGGGCACGTGCAGGAGGCAACCAACCGATGTGTTTCTCTCACATGGATATTTCTCTCTCTCCTCCATCCTCTCTAATCAATAAAAAACATCCTCTCCTCACGTGAGGATATATATGTATATATGTATACACACACACACACACACACACACACACACACAGAGTGGCCAGAGTATTATGACCACCCCATCAGTACTTCGTTGGGCCACCTTTTGCCTTCAATACTGCGGTGATTCTTCTTGGCATTGACTCTACGAGATGTTGAATGTTGATGCGAGGCATCTGACACCATGCCTGATGAATAGCACTGTCCAGTTCTGTGAGATCTGATGGTTGTGGAACCAGCTGCCTGATGGCTCTTTTAACTTCATCCCACAAATGCTCAATTGGATTGAGATCTGGTGATTGTGGGGGCCATCTAAGCAAGGTAAAGTCTCCCTCATGTTCTTGAAACCACTCCTGCACAATACGAGAACCGTGGCATGGCGCACTGTCTTCTTGGAAGAAGCCATCTCCATTGGAATAAGCCATCAACAAACGATACTTAAGTATGTTATGCTATTCAGACATTGTTCCACACAAATTAAAGGGCCCAAATCATGCCAGGAAAACATGCCCCAAACCATAACACTGCCCTCATCAACTTGAAGGGTTGTACTCAGGCATGTGGGGTGCATGCTTTCATGTTATTTCTGCCAAATTCTCACTCTGCCATCTGCATGATGCAACCGGAAATGTGATTCATCGGACCACGTGACTTTTTTCCAATGCTCAACTGTCCAATCCTTGTGTTCCTGTGCGAAATGGAGACGTTTTATCTTGGTAACTGCAGACAGCAAAGGTGTTCGAACAGACCTTCGGCTTCCATATCCCATACGATGCAGTGTACGGCGAACAGTGCATTCAGAGATCATTTGAGAGGATCCCTGATTGAGATCTGCAGTAATGTGATGCACAGTTGCCCTTCTGTTGTCTTGTACCAGTGTTGCCACTCTCCATTCTGCCCTAACATTGACTAGTCGCTGACAGCCACAATTCACACGTTCAGACCCAGATTTTCAGCTGACAGTCCAGTCTTTAACCGTTTGAGTCCCAGGGGGTATTGAAAAAACACTGTCGAAGAATCCCAAACAGCACATTGTCCACAATGTTCGAAATGTGCTGGGTTTTCTCGACATAAAATCTCAGCAGCACAATCGCGCTGCTTGGGACTCAAACGGTTAAACATTTTAACAACAGCTGCTCTTAAACATTTAACGAATTCAGCTGTTTTGCTGATACTCGCTCCATGGCTCCTAGCACCAACAATCATCCCACGTTGAAAGGCTGTTAAATCGCGCTTTACCTCTATATCTGTTTACCTGTTTACCTCTATATCTTCAGAAAAAAATCACTTCTACTGTCATGGTAAACAACCTGCTTCCCTATTTATAATGGTCTGGCCCTCTAGCAACTTCAGCGTGTAATTATAGCTAATTTGCCTACAAACGTTAGGTGGTCATAATAATCTGGCCTGTGTGTGTGAAATCAGTTCCACCAACTACGGAAAGTAGGTGACCAAAACTCATTCTTTCACCTGGAAAAACATGATACAATACCTTTCTTCTAGGATCACTGTGAAGAGTAAATGAAACCATGTATGTAAAGCACCTAGCACAGTGCCTGCACTCACAGGTACTGAAATGGAAGTTTCCTATCCTTCTGTGATAGCACACATCTTCACTCCTTTAGAAGAACAATAACCATCCTGTTTACCTGCTAAGAACTATCATATGAACAAGACACACATTTTTATCATGAGCGAGCAATTATATCTTTTGAGAATTTTCTGTTTTAACAGTTAGCTAACCCTAACTAACACTATTACATAAAAGCAACTTTCTAAAAGTTCATTCTTACCCAATTTCCTCTGGCATAGTATTTGCCACCTCTGCTACTTCTCATGGCCACATCATCAACTATAACTCTAGAAATGGTAATGCTGTTTTCTTATGCTCTATGAAACTTACATATATTTACTTATTAATTAATCCTATTCCCCTAAAAGTTGATCTCTATATAAAAGCTAAATGATAGGTAGCAATAAAGTAATTTTTTAAACTGCATAAAGCAATTTTTAAAGCTGACCAAGAGAAAAGATCTCTTTCTTGTGGAGCATTCAAATGAAACACAGTCCAACTCAAACACAATATTATCAAAAAAATAAAAATGAGAAGACTGAAATCAAAGAAACAGATATGATAGTTATCTTACCTACAAATTCAACCAAAATACAGGGGAGGGCAAAAGTAGGTTTACAGTTGTTTGTATGGAAAATAATTATTAATAAATAATAATACAAGAATAAACTGTTTCGTATATTCACAACGGTATAGCACACAAACACACATACACAGTGCCTAAGTCCCACAGTCAGAGAGAATGTCTCTGCTATTGTTCCCCGATTCGTAAGACCTGAAATTATGGAAACAAACAGCAGAAACTGTTGCTATCGATACCTCTTTGTGGCATATATAGATCTGCTTTATTTTCATTATTTTAATAATTCATGTCAGCCAACCCTGTTCTATAACCCCTATGCATCCCTGACCTCCATCTGTAATCACCTGTATGTAAAATATTTATTTATCTGCCTTCCCCTGACATAATCAATCCCATGAGAGGAACTATCTATCTTGCCTAATGCATATCTGAAATGCCTGGCATCATGCCTGACCCAAAGCAGGGGCTCCATATCTCTGTAATGAAAATATGAGCATCCCAAAGCACATCAAAAGTTGGCCGCAGATGCAACCATTCACCAAAGAAAAACATCATCTGGTCCAGCGCTCTCATTTACCACATCAGTAAATTAAGAAAAGTCCCCAAAAATGCCAAAATTCACATAACTAGTCATTGACAGAAATTTCATATCCCCTATTCTCCACCCCATTCTTTAAATGAAAAAAAAAAAAGAAAAAGAGGATAAAGCAGGACAAAGTAAAAGAGAACAATCTGACAATGAGGACTGTTCCATCCTGAGCTCTGATTAGGACAGAAGATATCAAGGGGTGAACTATGTACGTCCTCTTATAAAATGAATGTCAAAGCAACCTGGACTCAGAACTGAGTCCCTTGTTACTTCCTTTAGGACTACCAATCAACAGGTCAGAGAGCCATATCCATCTCTACAAAATGAAACACCGTGGATTGGGTGTTCGGTCCTTCTACAACATGGAAACCCGAGTAGGCACATGTTCTCTGCTGGAGAATGAAGCATAATGCTCTGTATTCAACAAGTTCCACTGAACACAAAAAGCTGAAGTGGACTTTATTTTTTTCTTAAGAAAATTACAGAGGGCAATTCTCTCATGCTACAACAGACACAAACTCTTAAAACTATCTCATTTAGACGGAAAGGAAATTTATTTGACAAATGTTCACTGAGCATCTACCAATGCCAGGCACGGCTATAGATCCTGGAGATCGTGAAGAAAACGAAAAATCTCCTGCTTACATAGAACTGACATTCTAATGGGAAAAGGAGAGACACACAAACAAAGTAAGAAAAATATGTAGCATATTACATTTAATTAGTGCTAAGAGAAAAATAAAACAGGTAAAGGGGATAGAGCATGAAGGGGAGGGAATGAACAGGGCAGACAGCACTACAGTGAGATATGAAAAAGACCTAAACTTTCCTCATCCAGGGGATGGCCTCTCGCCTCCATCTACTCAGAGCAGGATGGGAAGACACTGGAAGGTTCTAAGCAGGAGTAATATGACCTGACTTTATCCGACAGGGTTACTTTGTCTACAGGGCTTAGAAGAGACTGAAACATAAGCAAGAACATGTAATTCAAGTTAAAATATAAAAATTATAAATGACCAATGAGAATTTGGAAAAAACACTCCCATTTACTTATACAGAAATAAGATAGAATTTCTCACTAAGTTGGCAAAAGTTCACCACACAACAATCATCAATACGGTAAAATAGGCACTTTTAAATTATACTAGTGAGAATGTCGATTCGAAAACTCTTTGTGAAATCTCTTTCTCCATGTTATCTCACCTAGTAAACCCTCCTGGGATTAAGGTTCAAGTCTTGGGAAACTAGAGATGTAAAGATCTACATGTAAAAGAATGTTTGCAAAATCCCTCTTTTTAGGTTCAAGTCTTAGAAAATGACTAGAGATGTCAAAATCTATGTGTAAAAGTAAGTTTGCAAATTACTAATAATTATTTTAAAAAATAAACATGAAAAGAGTGCTGTCAGAGGAATGACTGCATAGGAATGCACCCTGTCCTCTCCCCCTGAAATTTCAACAAGTTAACCAACTATAAATCAACAAAGAAATCACTGCTCAACAAAGATGCACACCTAAAGACCTGCACATTGAAACATCTAAAGGTGGGCAATGGGGAGTAAAGGGGGAGATGAGAAGGGAGGAAAGTGCAGACACCCTGCAGACTCTGCAGAGCTCAGGGTTGGGCCAGGAGAGGAGAGAAAGCTGGTGACAGCAGGTGCTTCCTTCAGCCAGGAGGAACAGAGAGATTGGAAGGGTTCGGGGGGAAGGGGGCAGCCCAGCAGGGCAAGCAGTGAGGGAGCAAACAGTACTTGAGTCAGCAGACACCTGACAGCATGGGGTTCTGCTGTGCAGTATTCCAATGTCTGGCCAGTGGTGGTGTTTCAGAAATGGAACCAAAGAATTCCCTCCCCTTTATAACTGTTATAAACCACAGGTAGCCCTAATATATCCACCGCTTGGACCCCCAAGACTCGCCTCCTGTTGTCCTTAGAGTTGGAACCAGGAGCATAT